AGCGTATCACCAATGGACCAATGTTCATTCAATTCTCAAAAGTCAAATGTCAGATGACAGCAAGACGTCGTATTGAATCAAATTTTAAAATTCTCAATAGTTTTTAAAAGTGCAGTGAAAACAACATAAAAATTACGTAAAGATAAACATTTTCGACAAAATCAATTTTGATTTTTGGCGTAATTCTAAAAACAATAAACGTACCTATATACATGAAATTTTCATTGGTTGTTTTTTATTTATATTTATTGATATTCGCATATACCATACACGACAAAATTTTCAAAATATTTTGATTTGTTTTTAACTGTTTAGGAACATTTTCAGTTTCCAATTTTGTTATTCTTTTTCTATCAATAAAACTTTATTATTGTTGGGTAAAAAAGCTTGACAATTTAATACAACGCTCCTACTATATTGTTACAACGACATTTGAAAAATATTAAGATTCCTTAGTCACAGTTTATTTTTATAAGCATTTAAAGTTCATATCTTAACAAAAGAGACGGTTTGTCCGTGTGGATATTTTATATTATATTTATATTGTTATTAGTTATTATTAATACGGAAGCAGGTACCTAAGTTTAATTATTATTATACAATTACAACAAAATTAATAAAATCGTTATTCTTGGTTATTTAATATGTAATTTCGTCCAAATTAGAAAATAACATAACTATAAAAAAAAACTGTGTTCTTATATTTTTGAGATTTTTTAGTTACAGAATAATTTACTAACGTTTAACCTTGTTTTAAATTTTCAATGCTTAGCTATAAAAATTTTAAATGTTACACATTTTAACTACAAAATCATTTTTTAAATTTTAAATTTGATAAATTTGCCAAAATTGAAATTTAAAACTTGTAAAAAAAATTGTGTCTATGTGTTTGTAATATTTTTCAACTGCTATAGTAACAATACATTAGGAGCTTCGTATTCAATTTTCACACTTTTCGACCCAAAAAATAAAATTTATTGACAAAAATAGAAAAAAAAAATGAAAAACTGAAAATGTCCGTAAACAGCTCGAAAACAGTCAAAATATTTTACATATTATCAATAATTTTATTATATTATCAATATACGCAAGATATTTATAAATTATAAATTATAATCAATCTATAGCGGACAGTCACTATAACTTATCGCTCCTTTTTTTTTTTTTAAATCCAAAATATTACCAATCTATCTAATAATGCGATAATATTTCAGACAACTGATCTGAATTTGTAAGAATGTTCATTTGTGACCAGTCAGTTCACATTTTAAGATTTCTGCTTGAAATTCCGAATAATCAAAGTTTTTAAATTCCGAAATTACAAAATATTCAAGCTACATTTTAGAGGTTTAGGGGGTGAAATTGTGAAAAGTGGATTGACCAATCTCAAGTAGACATAATAACGAATTCAAATCTGTTTTTAAAAGTATTATCGCATTACTAGATTGATCAGTATGATGGAATAAAAATTAGCTGTTTTGTCTAAAATAACTGTTTAATAAATATTATAGTATTTCGTCAGGAACGTTTTTTCCAGGCTACCCCCGGGTCGTGACATAAAAAACTTAAATATATAATAAATTTGCCATATAAATAAATACAAATAGAATTCAACAGGTAGATTAACTACTACCATTGATTTATGATTATAGCATTTATATGTAGTTACTAAGTACTACCTAGTTATACACTTATACCCACTAATGTGTGTGTGCGTAATTTGATTTGACTAGATGATTAAAGGAACTTGGATACCTAGCTAACAAATGCATACACTTTTGTAATCGCTTATCATCTATAGTTATTAGTAATTTATAACAATATTATAAAATAATTGTATTATGCTGTAATAGATGTAATCTATTTAAATTGGAATTTAACTGTTTAACTTAAACTGCTTATGTATTACGATCAAAAACTATTTGGAGAGAAAAATGAGCACAGTATTATGTTGACAAAATAATTTGCGATTTTTACGAATTCCGTCCTGATTATAAAAACAAGTACGGACATTTTTAAAAGTACCAACTAGATCCAATTGGTGACCAATTGAAACCACCTTTGAAGTTTAAAATCGAATCTTTCGACTAGAAAAATGTCTTCAGACGTTCAGACACACAAAAATAAAATATATAAAAGTACATATTAATATGAACATTATCCTATTGGATATAGTAATAAAGTATATTGTATAATATTATTAATATTATGTAATATGTTACTATCTTAAAGTTAGATTCTTTTTTGGTCATTTTTAAAATAAATATTTTTTGTCTTTGGCCCAATCCACCACATTACCACAAACAACAATGACAATTATATTCAAATTATTTCATAAACATTAAACACAGAAGCGTGATAATTTAAAAATTCGTAACGATTAAAATTAAAAAAAGGTGCTCTGCTGTACAGTATTTTACAAGTGGGTCACTGTATAATGGATGGTATTAGATGATTGGGATTCTGAGCGGAGACGGTCAGTCTGGATATTTTAAATTGTTATTATATTTTATTATTTTTTCTGTAAGTTGAATTAATTTTATAATATTACTATAGTACATTTTATTACTTTTTTTACCATTGTATTCTTATCAATGGTATAAAAAAAATGACCTATAATAGGTACCTATACTAAATTAATCATATTACAATATCCATTAGGTACTTATAACGCGTTATACATCAACAACAAATCGTGATACTATCATAGATATATAATAGTTTACTTTAGAAGTTTCGAGTACCCACGAATAATATTATACAATCACAACAAAATAACTAAAATAGTTATTCTAGGTTTTTTTTATGTAATTTCGTCCAAATTTGAACTTAAAATGACTATAAAAATAAACTGTGCTTCTGTATTTTTTAGATTAATAGTGTATAGTGCCTACAATATAGTTGTTGGTCAGCATGGATAAAAATATAATATTGATGTTTGAAAAATAAATATGGGCCAATGTGTAAAGGAAAATTTACCATTATATTTATAAATATGTGTGTGAGTGTTTTGTGTTCCCTACAATGATATAATTATTAATGACGATTTCGGAATTCGTTGAACACGACTTAATATAAAAATTAACCAACCTCACTAACGCCTCACTAACGGAGATAAAGACAAATTTTCGGTTTAAATGGACATTATAAGACCGGTAATGCCATTATTATACAATAATATAATATACAATTTAATATAATAATCTCATCAAAGCCAAAATTAAAATGTGGCTAGGACGTATATTATGCACATCCGTATTGATGAATAAAATAAGTTAATTCATAAAATTAAACTTTACCGATCACAGCACATAGTTTACGAAAGTTTAATCAAGTAAAACACAAACATAAAATTTAAAAAAGAAATAGCGGGAAAAAAACTTTTTTTTAAAAATGTGATTTTAAAAACGTAGCTATAGTCTGTATAGCGAGAAAACCCGCCGCGCCCCGACCAAAACTGATTCCCTCCGCAACACCATGTCAGATGGGGGGGGGATGCGCAGGGACAGAGTGCAAATACGTCAATTCTACCTAAATTGTTAAGTGACAACTAGATTTGGTGACATTTATTATTGTTTACTATAATGATTAGTACCTTCTTAGATATTATACTTATTCTTCAAAATTATGAATATTACAACCTAATAGTTTTATTGTTTTTAGGACCTATGTAGGAAACCAGTGCGGCATAGGTACATATTTTATACATTAGCAAGAAAAATAAATTATTATTATAATTATAACCTTCAGACCTATTGTTATATTAATAAAAAATGGTAAGACGTGATCCACGATTCGGTTTACCCCTGCTACCTATAATTTAATAATATGTGTAATTTTTAAATTTTGTATCATTACTTCTCAAACCAATATACGAATAACCTCTATCAGACTGAAATTATATTATTGACCAGTGACCACACTGTAAAAAAAATGTGTACGTAAGATGTTTGAATGTAGAGGTCTAGGTATATAGGTATCTTGTATACGGTTTAAGCTGCGGGTGGTATGTTTGGGTATTTCGATCGAAAATTGTAATCAAAATGAAATACAATATATGAATTTTCAGGTGGAAGTGGATCATGATTTCCCTTAGAAAATTTGTACAACTTTTGCTGAAAACCTAGATTTAATCCACAATTTTAAAAGTAAAGCAATAGCATGTGATATGGAATTATCCAGGAACGTCTACAAGGACATAAATCTTACTTATATTGAAACATCAGATGATCCATCAAAATATGTAAGTGTTATTAAACACATATTTTTTGAATGTACTCATTAACTTTTTACTACTTATTAGATTACATACAAATTATACTTGGAAGAACAAAACAATTGATACAAATAGCAAAAATACTGTAAACATTAATAAGAATGCAGGTATAATTAAAGAAATTATGAATAATAAAGGTAAAGAATCAGTTGGAAAAAGACTGAATGGGAATTCAAACATTTATCATGGTTCAAAAAATAACGATGTATGTATATAAAGATTTTAAAACCATAGACAATTTATAATTTAAAGTTTATTTTATTTGTTATAGCAAAAGAAAAGTACATCAGTTGATCTTAAACGAAATTCAGATAAGTCTTAATTTGACAATTAAAATAACATTTCAAAACAAATAAAAATTAATGATGAAAATGACAATGAAAAACCATTGGCTATTGTTAAAAATGGCAAAGTTGTATATATTTGCGGTGAATGTAATTTTGAAGCAGAAACAATGATGTCCCTAGTTAGCCATCGATGAGATCGCTTTCATTTAAATGTGGGTAGTTCCAAGGGTTCAGAATGCTCAACTTGTTACAAAACTTCAGGACTGCTTAAGCAACAGATTTCAAAGCAGTGTAAGGATTCCTTTAATTGTGAATATTGTGAAAAAATATATTCAAACAAACGAAGTCTTAATCGTCACGCCAAATGCCATCAAAATGTAATTCCATTAGAATTTCAATGTGTAAAATGCAATGCTTATTTTGATACCATAACCGAAATGGAAGATCATTTTGTAGTACATTATGCAAGTGCTTCATTTAAATTTATCTGTGATCATTGTGATTGCACGTTTACAACATACGCGCAAAAAAAACATACCAATCTTGATCACTTGATGGAAATTGAGTGTGGCATTTGCCATGTTGTCTTACCAACTGAAGAAGCTATGGATAAACACAATAATTCTGTACACCAACCTAAGAAATAGGAAAACGAAATGTACGAGCGCACTGTGTGTGAAAAATATTTTTCTTTATTAAATAAGTTTTAAATTATAAAGAAACACATTTATCCCAAAATGTAAAGTTTCAATGATTATCAAGCAAGGTTTTTTCAATTATTTTATTTTTAAATTTATAAAATGTCATGATTGAATTTATATTTTATATATGCACTTATTAATTTATGCAAAGTAGTATATTTCAATATTATCTTCATTATAGATTTTAGTTTTAAATATTATTTAAGTTACTAACTGCCTCACGGTCTGTATAAATACATACTGATTAGTGTTATTACAAAAATGTTGCCATTATATTAGATATTTTTGTTTTAAAATATTAATTTTTCCATTTTTTAATTATCATAGCCAAATTTAGGTTATAATGGCAATTGACAGTAAAGTTCCTATTTGTATTAACATTACTTTTAAAAATAAAATTACAGATTTGTTTAATAAATTGTATGCAATAAAATGTACCTAAAACTTGAATAGTATCATTATTATTAGTAACCATAATTCTGTTAGTACAGTCAATACATCCTATACAGACATTAAAAATAGGAAATAATAACTTTTTATCACAGTTTAGTGCTTTGAAAAGTTTGCTTACAAATTACAGGAGTATCTACGGACTAAATGAATTATTATTGTGTAAGTTTTCATTCATAATATGCTTGATTATTAAATGTATTAAAATTAAACTTAATGTTATCGTCGATAGCTTATCGACCTACAGACAGTCTTCAAATATTAGCAAATTACAAGGTTTTTAATACTTTTCGATTATGAGTGGAGTAATGAGTATATTAATTTGTTTTATACAATGATGGGTGTTTTTTTTTAATTTTTGATTTTTATTTGTGTCTGTCATCACCTTTTAGGACAATATAAATGATTAGGTACATTTTCTTCAACATCATATTTTCTCACGTTTTTTTTCTATAAATATCAATAAAATGTTATTTGTTGAGTCAAAAAGCTTGCAATTTAATAAAAGGCTCCTAATATATTGTTACAATTAACCTAAAGAAGCCTAGATATTTTATCAATGAATTCAAACATGTTTAAAAAATTTAAATCGGACATTCCGAAGTATGTGTAATTTACCACCGCTTATTGGTCTTCAATGTATGAAAAATACTTGCGTTGCAGCCTCCTTAAACCAAACACACTTAGTAATATTCCTAGAATGTTGAATTAAATGATAAACATTAAGTATTATTGTATGTTGTATCATACCATATAATTTAAATTATCACAGTTATACAGTATGAAGGTAAGTATATAATATTATTTATACAATTTAATATAATAAAATGTATTATATATTTTATTAATAAAAACAATAATATAAGATAATATTGAACCAAACAATTCGGTATAGACTATTTTTTTTAACATTTTAATGTGACAGTGTACCGAGCGTCTATCTACCTACTACTTACTAGTTAGTTTGATCATTTTCAGTGTTGTATAGTGTGTATATAGTTTAATAACTAATAAGTGTGCTTTAAAATGAAAACCAAATTTGAAACAATTATAAAAAACACAACAACAGAAAGTAATAATAGCACGTTTTTGATGAAATAAAATTATGATTTTTTAATGAGGGAAGTGAAACATATTAACACAGGAAAAAAAGAATCTCCACGAGATTATTGGTTTGTACAATGGTATGATGTGATAGAAGTGCAAGGTAATGAAAAACTTATACGTCCACAAAAAGATAGGTAGGTAATCCTGATATTATATTTTACGTCCACGACGAAGTATAATTATACGATATTTTACTTAACATCCACCTATTGGCTTTCTATTGGACACGGTGGTAAAGACAGAATGATATAATATGAACTGAAAAAAATTGACGTGAAATAAATGAATATTTATATTTTATATAATAATGTAGGGCATGTTTAACTTATTAACTTAATACTAACATTTGATTTTTTTTGTAATATGTACTAAAAATAACGTAAATAAAAATAATCGAACAAGATACTGTTGAAGAAAATCGAAGCAGTTTTACTGTCCTAAAAGGTGGTGACAGAAACATTAAAAAATTTAAAAAAACACACATCGTTGGAAAATCAATGTATTCATCGCTCCACTAAAATCTAAACAATGTTTTAAAAATATTGACTTCAAATTGTTATGTTTATTTGTAATGCTAAAATGATTCACAATTAATGCTAATTCAGATAATAATATTATCACATAAAAGCAACACATTTGTTTATCAAGTTAGGTACCAATGTACCAATGTACCATACATCATATATTTGTGGACTTAGTGGTAATATGTTTACCATGGCAGTTCATCGTGGGGTTATAAATATAACATCCAACAAAAAACTGAATGAATTAGCATAAAAACAACAAAAAAATTGATTTACTAATATAATAAAAATATTGTTAATACTATAATATATTTATAAAGTCTGTATACCTATCTAAGTTATAAATAAAGTTTGTATTTACCATTATTTTATAAACTGATATCAGACATAACCATAAATTATATAAAAAAATGATAAAATAATGACTTAGATCTATCCCCCCTCCATGACAAAATCATTTGACCGCCACTGACCCCAAATGATACCTCCATAAATGATTAACTTGAAGATGTTGTATACAAACTTAAAACTACACTGTAATTTTTGTAAGAAAATAACAAAAGTGCTACATGAGAAATCGTGTGAATATCCAATCTTGTAAAAATATGAACTTCAAAGTCCATAAAAATTTAATTTGATATGCTTGTAAGCAATTTTTCATCTAGTCAGGTTGGCCGAGCGGTCTAAGGCGCCAGATTTAAGCTCTGGTTCCCAAACGGGAGCGTGGGTTCGAACCCCACACCTGACAACCTTTATTTTGCAGTTTTTATTTTTCTTTAACTAGTTTATAATGATAAATTCAAAAAAAAGTCAATCAAAAATGCCCTTTTTTTTAATAAATTGTTGGTAGAAACAAATGCAATCGAATAAGTATACTCGGCGGCTACTCCAATCCCAAATCCAATTACATATACCTATTATTACCTATACTATATTACAGGCGCGTATCCAGAATTTTATTTCGGGAGGGGCTGAACAAAATTATCAACATAGTCACACAATAAACAAAAAGTGGGTAAGTGGATGTCGCTCTGCTGCACAGTAGGTAATAAGTGGGTCACTGTAATGGATAGTGTAAAATTTGAATTCAATGATATAATATCATTGTATAAGAAAAACGATTCTAAGCGAAAACGGTCAGTCAGCCTATGATATTACTAAGTATATTTGATGATATTATTGTGAATAAAGTAATTTATATATTTACCTATTTACGTGGACCATTGTTTTAAATTTTTAATCCTTAACTATGAAAGTTGAACATTTTATAAATTTTTAATTACAAAATATTTATTATATTTTAAATTTGATAAATTTTGTCAAAATTCAAACTTTAAATGATTATAAGAAAACATTGTGCCTATGTGTTTTTAATATTTTTCAACTAATATTGTTACAATATATCAGGAGCCTTGCGTTATATTTTCACGCTTTTTACCCAACAAAAAAATTTTTATTGATATTTATAGAAAAAAAACTAAGAAAAATGAAAACTGTCAATGTCCGTAAATAGCTCAAAAAGAGGCAAAATATTTTCAAATTTTTTCGGTGTATAAAAAATGAAAACATTCAGCAAAATTTTAAGTTTTGTGATTTTTCCGTATTTTATCAAGATTCGAACTTTAAATGCTTATAAAAAAACTATGACTAAGGATTTTTAATATTTTTCAACTGCTATTGTAACAATATAGCAGGAGCCTTGTATTAAATTTTCAAGCTTTTTTACCCAACAAATAAAGTTTTATTGACATTCATATTTTTTGGATTTTCTTGAAATTTCAGGGGGGGCTGCAGCCCACCCAGCCTCCCCCATAAATACGCCCCTGCTATATTATATAATCAATTATAATTTTAAACCAAAACCATTTGGTTTTTTTTTTAGTCATTGTCTTCGATACCAATGATTTTTCTTATTAAATGAGTTATCAGCATTCTTCAGCACAATTTGTCGTACCTACCTAGTTTATACGTTTGCATCTAATATTTAACGTAGGTAGGTAAATAACCTTAAAGTGAAACCTCGGCATAATAATACGTTATATAATACTTTAAGATAGAAATACCTATTACGACCCACAGGCCACTAAATTAGATTCAAATGTGTTGTTCGATTATTTCATCGTACCTATATGGTTTTTATAGGGTGGTTTGATAGAGAAAGACGCTGGGAAAGACCGACGAGGAGAGAATATATCTAACTACAATAATTACTTGTATAATAATAATATAATATAAATATATAACTAAACAACTTACAGACGATAATAATATTATTCCTTCGTAAAGTACCTATGCTTTTTTTTTGAGTTAATGAAGTTTAAAGAAAATAATATTTTTAAGCTATTCATTGTATTCAAATGTTTAAACATAAATAATTTATTTAAAAATGATTTCGTTGTTTAATTTCACTTGTGGAGTTGTGTGAGCTAAACAAAATATGTTATGGTTTATTTCAAGTTCATTTTCAAACATATATTATGTTACACTAGGCACCTATAGTACCAACTAGCTTTTTAAATCTATTGTGATCATATCATTCGATACCAAGTTTTAAGGAGTTTCTTAATAAAGTTATCGATTCCATTTTTTATAGAAAAAAATTAAATCTTTAAACTTTAAATTGGGGAAAAATATATTGGTATCATGAATCACGACGTATTTTACTTAATCTTTTAGATTCTGAGTGGAACGATGAATGTATTGATTTTACAATGATGTGTGTTTTTTTTAAATTTTTTTTTTGTGTCTTTCAATCACGTTTTAGGACAGTAAAAGTGCTTGGATTTTCTTAAACAGTAGCTTTTCTGATAGGAAAGTGAATCTAGTTGGTACTTTGGAGGGTCAAAAGTAAAAATTTCTCAGTAG